GTTTCTCCATGTAGTGGTCGACGGAGTTTCATCTCACTCTCTTACCATTAATGCTGGATCAATTCTAACAACAACACTATATCTACTACATATCAACGATTTGTTGGAAGCAACTTCATGTCCAATACAACAGCTTCGCGGATGATAGTACCCTCCATACCGCCTTCTCTTCCAGGACTCCAATACCAGGAAGGCAAATCAGAAACGAACGAGGAAAAAATGTTGACAAAATAAACATGGACTTGGCAACAATTCTTGAATGGGGATCCAATAACTTGGTAGATTTCAATGCAAACAAAACACGAGCATGCCTTTTCTCTAGAAAAGCCGATCTCACATGAGCTTGTCAGGAGTAACCATACCTTTGAAGACATCCATTTCGATGCTTGGTATTGCTATCATCAGCAATAACCTTTCTTGGGAAAATCACGTGAGATCAATTGCTAAAAGTGCATCACAAAAACTAGGTTTTCTGTTTCGGGCCAAGAGCTATTTCACTTCCAGTCAGCTGCTTATGATCTATAAGGCACAGATCCGACCTGTCCTGGTATACTGTTACCATATGCACCCGAACATACCCTGAAACTGAAAGGGCAATTCGTTTCGTAGGTGATGCCTTGCTCACAAACTCACTCACTTTTCTAGAACACCGTAGAAAAGTTGGCGATCTGGCTCTATTTTATAGATATTTTCATGGACGATGCTCTTATGAAATATCAACAATTTCCCCGCGAGATTAACCCGTCGAGTTGAGGTTTCGCACCCCTTCGTGGTCACTTTGGAGACCTGCAGAACATCTCTTTGCAAAGACTCGTCCATCCAACGAACAGCGAGGCTCTGGAACACATTGCCACGGGAGGTGTTCCCCGAGCCATATAACCTCCAGAAATCAAAGAAGTACGCCAATTCCTACCTCATTTCCCTCGGTTCTCACGATGTTCTCTGAACATTACAGAATATCCCTTTTCGTGGGAACCAGAATATAAAAAAATATCAATAATACAGTTGGTACAGCTATCAATGCTGATTTCTTGAACATAATTATTATAACTTATTGAGAGCTGCTGTCCAGTGTCGGCATTGCTACGAGAACGATAAGTAGTATTGCTTTTAGAAGTGGATGGTTGGTTTGAATGATCATCTGGTATCATTAATTCTTATATCATCGCTGGTAATTTTTTCACCAATATTGATTTCATTTGAAAGTGATTCTTCAACATAGCTTCCAGTTACTGCAGATGATTCACATCCAGCATGTCTTTTGATATTGGTGATACTTACCCCAGCCACTCAATTGGCTGAAGAACGCCTGAAACAATGACCGGTTTATTCTTTTGGGCTCGGTAGCTTCAAGAATGTTGCAATTCTCGATTGGATCTGACCAAAAATATTCTTTTCAACAACTCGATTTGTACATTTATTGTTCTTATAGAATTCAAAAACGCCTATGTTCAGTATCTGGGGTCGTAGACTAGCATATTTCCTATAAATACCCAGATAATCAACTCGTTGGTTTTGAGTATTGATGACGGTAAATGTTCGTTGTATTTCATTTTTGATTCTCTAATTGTAATCAATATAGCATCAATTAAATCTTGAATGTCATCAACCGAAAGATTCGTTAATTCTTCTCTGCGACAGGCACCATGTATTCCAAATAATAGTACAACCTATAAATGAATCAATCATCAGTCTTGAAATTCCCCAAAAAATAAATTGGGTGTAACATGCTTTGGTCATTAAATATTCGTCATCTAGAGATTTGAAAAAAAGTCAATTGCATTCCTCTTCAATAATTTAGACTTCTTCAGCTTATATCCATCATTCTTTCTATTCAAATATGCTATCAATCTAGAGTACTTACTTATGCCGATATTATTATTCAAAGTCAAAGTTGATTTCAATATCGAATAGTATAACCACAAAGAGGTCGGTTTACGATCCTTAGATTTATCGAAAAATATACTAGTAGTACATCTTCTGTGATCATCTCCACATTATTTTCATTGCCCATCTGATAAATTCATCAAGCGTCTTTTCATACAATTTCTTTCACTTTGCTGGACGTAACATATTAAAAAAAGTGTTGTGTGTATCACGTGCGTGAAATGCGTTCATGACCTTCAGCATAAATTCACGTCACAGACCATAAACGCCTACTTCACGCCCTTGATACATAAATAACAATTATTTTCCACTTGTCCATAACTGCTTCATAATACCTTGGCAACGGTTGCTATTAACAGATCCATAACGACCCGGGCATTATGAATCATAAAGCCCGTTAATTCGTATAAATTTCCATTATTTTTATGAAACTTCACAAAGAGGGTAGCAATGACATTAACTGAACTAAGTGATGACAGCAATATACAACAAACGTCAAAATATCAACAATTGTCATGCCTACCATGAGAAGAAAAATGGAAAGAAAATACTAGGAGCAATGAACCGCTTTTTAAAATCGATTACAATAAGATAACTTTTTCGTAAAAAATAAAATATTGTATGCACCACGAGCGTTACTAGATCCCAATGGGCTTTAGCATCGGGCAGCATCGTTACCACCGATACAACAAGGCCAGCAGACTCTGACGTAAACAGCTCGTGACGTCACCATGAGAGGCCAGTGTTTTATTTTATCGCTTGTCGACTAACGCGTCAGTTCGTGTTAATTCATAGGTGATTCACGTATGTTTTTGAAACGGTCCCGAATTCTTTTGTTGTTTATTCCACAAAATAATTGGCAGAAAAATTACTGTTTTGTGAAATATTTTGTGTTGTGATCGGCGAAATAACAATGCCTTTCAAGTTTTGTGTTCCCTTTTTTCGGGGGAATTATGTGGGTGGTTTCAAAGTTCATGCTTTTAGTTTCCCGTTGGAGGAAGAGCTATCGAAAATGTGGGTATATGCAATTCACCGCGAGGATTTTACTCTATCTAAGTTCAGTAGTAAACAGAGCTTAATTTATAATGATGAATTAATAATAGAAGACAATTACTCTCTCATAAAAAGTATAAGTAGAGGAAAAATAGAAAAGCTTTGATTGTGCAGTTAGTTTTGTATTCGTATATTATAGTCAACAAAATCATCTCTGAATTCGAGGAAATTTTCTTGAATGTTCATAATAAACGGGCATTTTTAATTCTCATTCTCAAATTTCTTTCTGAAAACGGTCATTTGCCTCGTGGCAATGAATGCAGAATTAATTCCAATGATCAAATTGCAACTATCATATTAACATGAACTACAAACACTCTACTTAAAAAGGTAAAACGGCATTTATCATGATATTTATCATGAAGATATTTGACTAAAAAGTTCCAAATTTCACCTTCTTTTTCACCTGTCTTCTGGATGGCATTTAGAACAAATTTTCCTTCTTTTTTCATCATATTGGACAATTTATATATAATTCAACTATAAATATGATTTTCTTGAGATTAATCCATATTTAGTGAAAAGAAGGAAGAATATCATTCAAAATAATGGCGTGTGTAATGTCATTCGAAAGCAATCTATTGACATTTGACATCTCGTATTTTGATTGACTATTGATTAAATAGTCGTCATCTGGAATGCTTGTTCACTAAATATGAAAAACTCGCCATAAAAATCATATTTCCTGTTGAATTTTCTATATAAAAATGTGCGATCGAAGTACATCATGAGTATATAAAGTGTCCAATGACAAAATAAGACCAAGTAGCTTCAAATGCCCCCAACACAAGGGGAGAAAGAAGGCGAAATTTCGAACTTTTTCTTGAAATATCTCAATAAATAGTGGTTTGTTCACATTCTCATTATAAAATTTGGTTTATCAGACAAAAATACGTGAGTACCGGAAAAAATTTTCAAAAAAATAAACCATCGCATGATAAATGCAGTTTTACCCTAAAAAATTACGGTTTCAAGTGTAACGATCCACTTGGGTGAAAAATCCAACAACAGAAAATTGAAAACACTCACTGGTTATTTTTTCAGGTAATAGGAATTCTCCAAGATGAATATAGGTAATTGTAATAAACGACATGTCAATCAAAATAAAATACATTTTCCACAATTTTCTTTCGATCAATCTCACGATAAGTTTATGTTCTGCGGGCCCTGTATAAGTCGGTGTGAATTTTAGCTTCACCACAATTTTTGCCAATATATTTAATTCGAATGGGTTGCTGTAGGTGGATATTGGTGTTTTATCCTGGTTTTTGCTTTAAAACTTCGTTTTTCCATAATAAAATCGAATGGGGTGCGAAGATGGGCTCAGTTGACGACTGGCATCCTTTTTCAACCGGAAGCCCTTCAAAAAACAGCAAAATCGGCTCAATGATGATCTAAAACTAAAATCGAAATACGCGATCGCCTTATAGCGCTATAAGCGTTTGTCGTTTCGAGCAGAAAGGATCAATATAACACTTTTATCACATGACGGAAATATGTCCAGAATAGAAGGAGCAAATAAATCAATTTATCATTTCGTTATCAGATGACGGTAGAAATCTGCAAGCGCCTCTCCTACTAAACAAGATCAATCTTCGTATGCCTACCAGTTAAGATCTACCAGTTTATCGAGTTTGACAACGTCACAATCTCACATACAATAGGTCGCGTGCAAGAACTGTCAGATGACCGACCCTGGAGGCAAAACATATTTGTTTACAAGTGATCGAAATAGTTTTCCACAATTATTTTGGCATATGAATCGTATTTTTCCGCTATTCATCAATTCGCTAATGCCATCACATTGTGCTGTTGTAAAATGCACAAAAACTGCAGCGGAAGATGAAGAAATCCGGATGGTACATTATGATTCAAAAGTGAGTACCTACTATAGTCACTCACATAGTTTTCATTTTTGAAATTTGGTTATTTCTCTGATTTCTCATCAGAATTCTTTCTGCAATAGGATCAGCTAATAGAAATATACCTGAAATTTCTAGAATAATGCAAGAAGATTGGATTCATGCAATCAATCGGTAGGACTGGTCTGACATGCTGACGATCGTGTGTGTTGTAGACATTTTCAATCTATTAGCAGCATTAGCTTGTATTGCAGAAGTGGCAGAAGGCAGAAGGAATTTTAATAAGGAATGACAACATTTCATAATGCTAACTATGTGAGATTACTATTTACCTGAAAAATCATATTCCCTAGTCTCTCGCTGCATTTTTTGTGCATTGTACAACAGCACAATGCGAAGGCATGCTTGAATCAATGAATAACGCAAGAAACACGATTCGTATGCCAAAATATTGTGAAAAACTATTTCAACCTTTTGATTCCTCTGTAACCAAATAAAAAAGTGAGGTTGTGTTTCAATAATTCACAGAAGAATGAGGTTGTGTTTCAATATTTTGCCTCCAGGGTCGGTCTTCGTGCACGCGACCTATAATGTTTCGACTGGTATTTATGTCAAAATGAAGTTTCATCCTATTTACATTATATTTTTTTATTGCAATGCAATCAAAAATTCACACGAAGTTGATTCTGCATCATTTCTCACCCAGAACAGAACCCGAATATGGTACAAAAACTTGACAGACACAGTTTCACCAGACAACCCCTACTGCAAAATCTGCTGCATAATGACGTCCAAAGGCAAACTTGGAAAAGCCTGTGGAAAACACACCATGTGCATTTATAACGACAAAGCAGTCGGTCCGTCCTGCAGAGGTTTTCTGGAAATTCCTTTCAGCAATGAAGAAATCGAAGCGATAGTTGATGCCCACAACACCATGAGAAATAAGGTTTGTACCATCGAGCCAATATCTATTTCATCAGATCGTAAGAAACGGAATCCCTATTATTTTCCTGGGGTAGCAAGGAAAAGTAGGCAGGTATTGGATGATTTTAGAACTTTTGGAGGTAATAGGTTCTTGGAAATATTTCCCTAGACGAATAAATCCAAAGATGAACGAGCCACTAACTACTATCTAGACCGCTTATTATGTCATATTACACCGTATTTGAGCATTCTTTTGAAAAGTGCATTTCACACCAGTGTAGTTTATCTCTTGGGCAGGTGTGAATTACACTCGAATTCAAGAATTAATAAAATTGCGATAAATGAGCACTTTTCTGGTGGGAAAATGTAAGGGTGTTTCAGAGTTGTCATGACGAAAGCCTACGAGAGATTCCTTTCAACAAAATATGAAAACAAAATCCTATAAAAATGGATCCGGCAATGCTTCGTTCATGTGATAAAGGAAAAAATCCCAGCGTGTAAGGTAATGATAAGGATCATTGCGTTTACTCAGGGCACACGGTTCTTGGTCCCAGTGATTATTCACCTCACAGGCTGTGGGAAGTAGTCACTAGATTTTATCCAGCACGACTCTGCGTGGCGTTGGAGGCCGCAGGGTCGTGACTGGATTAATATTTTTTTTTATCGCTTGGAGCGCACGAGAGGGAATCCCTATAATGTTCAAAGAACATCGTGCGTTCCTAGGGAGGATAGGGACAGGAGGTAAGTATTGGAATTTTTTTTGAACTTTTGGAGATTATATGTTGTTGGGAATACTTCCACAGGCAATGAATTCCAGAGCCTAGCCGTTCTATGGATGAAGGAGTCTTGATAAAGTGCTGTTCGACATCTTTCGAGGTTGACAACGAAAGGATGTGCTGACTGGGCTTGTCTAGTTCGTCTGATTGGTATTGCTAGTGAAGGGATGATAGCAGAGATTTCCGAAGAACATTTCCCGTGGAAGTATCGATAGAAAAGTGAAAGGTCGCCGACCTTTTTACGGTGTTCTAATGATGTCAAAGAGTGAGTGAGTGTGGCGTCACCCACCAGGCGAATGGCTCTTCTCTGGATGGAATCTAAGAGCATCAGCGTATGTTTTGGTGCTGAACCCCATATGTGAGAACAGTATTCTAGAACAGGCCGTATCTGCGCTTTGTAGATCATGAGAAGCTGTTGAGGTGTAAAGTAGCTTTTCGCACGGAACAAGAATCCGAGTTTTTAGGAAGCAGCTTTTGCGATGGATCTGACATGATTATCCCATGAAAGAGTGTTGCTGATGGAAATACCGAGCATAGATATGGTCGGCTTGGTGGGGATGGTGGAGCCAGACATTACAATATCGGGCATACTGAGTTCCGCCTTTCTAGAGAAAATGCAGGGTTGAGTTTTGGTGGCATTGAATTCAACTAGGTTGTTTGTTCCCCAGGCTGTGATTTCAGCAAGATCTTCATTGACAGCATTGACCTGCCTGCGCCGTGAGTTCCTAGTTTCCTGGGAAGAAATGGGAATTCTGGAAGAGAACGCAGTATGGAGGGTACTATCATCTGCAAAGCTGTGGATGGGGCAAGTTGTTACTCCCAACAGATCATTGATATGAAGCAGGAATAATGTTGGTGCCAAAATTGATCCTTGTGGAACGCCGGAATTGATGCCAATGGTATCAGACGATACACCGTCCACCACCACGTGAAGCGATCTGCCTGAAAGAAAACTCGATAAGAGATGGCATAGCTGAGGTGGTAAGCCGTATGATGGTAGTTTGTGGAGGAGTCCTTCGTGCCATACACAGTCGAATGCTTTCGATATGTCCAACGCGACAGCTAGAGATTCCCCGTGTTTTTCTATTGAAGATTGCCATAAATGGGTGACGTAGGCAAGTAGATCTCCAGTAGATCTTCGGTGAACTCAAATCATAATAATAATAATAATAATGATAGTGATAATGATAATAAATGATTTTATTGCAACAGATAGATACGTACATATGTTTCAACTACCGACATTTCCAGCGGAATGAATATATCCAGTTTCCAAAACTCTGACAATACTGAATTTCTTCAATTTCTTCATGTTTATGAACTTTTATGTCACAAGTTCCCTTACTTCCATATTTCAAAATAAATTATACCTATTGAACCAAATTTCGGAATGAACTTTCACTACTCATTCTACCTGCTTTTTCACACCATACCACGAAGAAGGATAATAAGAGGATTTAGGTATAGGAAACTACCTACCGTCATGGTCTTGATATGTAATAGAGATAGATAATATAATAGTCCGTGGGCATAAGCATATATTCCGAGGAAATCATGACAGGAGTCGTTACGATGTATTTGGGCATAAGTGTACCAATATCCCTGTCGCCGTGGTCATCAGCAGAGTTGTCAAATGTGGTACAATTGTGCCAAAAGTGGCACTTTCAGCTCTAGAGTGGCACCAGGGTACGCACTTTTGAAGAATAGACAACAACTGGCACTATTTCGTTTCGTTTCAACGTATATCAGTTTTTGATATTTTTCTCAATTTTTTTATATTCTTATTTTATTTCATTAATTTTTTTGGACTGATGATTTTCATTTCTTTTTAATATGAAAGTTTCAATCAAATATTCTACTGGAATAGTTTTATTGTCGAAAATGTTTCTGTAAAAAATCTCAGTAGTTCATTGTGTGACATACTTTTATGCTACAAAAACAAAATATGAACCTATCCTGTCATTCTTGCACAAGGAACTATTCAATATTTGAATTTTCCGTAAATATCTGTGATGATTCGACGATTGGCACCATTGTCAGCACTATGTCGTGACTAACTTCCGCACAGTCAGAAGTTCCTCTGTCTCAGTGCCGGATTTAGGGAGGGGCTATGGGACTATCAGCCCCCGGCGGTGAATTTCAAGAGGCGGTAGAGAAAAAGAGAAAAGAGAAATACCAAGCAACAATACAGTCGTCGCCGACGAGGCGACAAATATATTATATTACTTATTCTTGCTTATTATATGCCGCTTCTTTGGTCGCCTTTTGAAGCAAACGCGCAATTAGCTACTGCTGGCAGTCGGCACCGCATCAAAAGGACTTGGTTGAGATACTGGTTTTCGAAAGAACTTAACTATAAGGAGGTCAGCACCCGTAAGAGGAGACTGGCTCTTGAAGAATCTGACACTGAAGCTTCATTGACACCACAGACCAGAATGCGAACCCAGGTATTCCTCAAAGCAGTCTACCATTTGGTGGGCGAAGTAAATATTCGTGCTGAAGCCTACAAAGATCTCTCCTCTACATTCGCTTTTTTGTTCTCAATTGCATCTCTGCCAGATGATGTCATCGTAGATAACGCACGTGTTTTGATTGATGTATACCCAAAAATGATGTAGACGAGTCACTCGGCATTGAATGTGTTCAATTGAAATATTTCCTGAATTCTATTGCCGAAAACAAGAGTAAATGAAACATTCAATGCAAGATCGTTGATGGCGCTTTTGCACGAATACAAGATCACAGATACTTTTTGCAACGTGGAAGTAGCTCTTAGAATTTTCCTATCCCTGATTAGTAATGCCAGTGGTGAAAGGTCATTTTCTCAACTTTAAAAAGAGTGAAAAACTACCTAGGAATTCCATGGTAGAGGATACATTGGATAGCTCATCAATTTTGAGTATTGACTGAATTTTGATGATGACATTGACGACTCTGCATCAAAAAAATCTAGAAAAGTATTTCAGTATTCATCTGAAAAAAATATTTGTTGTTTGTTGTTATGTTTAACGTGTGAAGAAAATATAATTTGATTCGTTGTTGAAAAAAGCAGTGAAAGGAGTATTTGAATTTTGAAACTGACAATTGAAATTTAATATTTGGCGGCGGAGCGGCGGTATCCTAAAAGTTAGCCCCCGGCGTAAGGGAGTATAAATCCGGCACTGCTCTGTCTGTAAGAACACTGGTCGTCAGTCGAGAGAGAGTCGGCTGGGACAGAGTTGGTTCATTCGGGTTACGATTTCAGAACTGTTCAAGAATCGTTCTCGAACTGCGTAGAACTAGTGCGCAGTCGTTTCGAATCCTAGGACTGTTTCAGAACGGTTCAAAAATTATGAAAACCCGAACGCGGCAGAAGAGAACCTCTGAGAACATAACCTCTATTCAGAATTTGCGAAAAAAACAATAGTTTGGAACCTGGATCTTGTATCTTTATTCGAATATTATTCTGAAGCTTCAAACTCTCCTTTAAGTCTATTCACAATATCTCTGGAAGCCCTCTGTGAAGGAATGATGAATATATTCCATCATGGCATTCCTAGCTAGATTTTCAATGTTTTGTCCCTTGTACATACATGAATTTCGACACCCACCTGAAATGTTTAATGAATTGTGTATCTGAATATAATGGCATCGTATCCCGGACATAATCCTTCATTTTTCGGATTATCTAACAAATGTTCGAGAATTATCAGGTTAGGCACAATATTTTCAGTAACATCAGCCAGGAACTCCTTCACCAATGCTTCCTGAAGATGAAGATGTACTACTTACTATCAAATGAATGTACCAACTCCATAATATTGAGAAAATAGTGAAAACCAATAAACAGTTGAATAAACAAAAACATATCATTATGACGTTACGCAACAACAGAGATAATCTACACTAACACTAAATGAAATGAGCATGCGCCAAAAATAATCCTAGAACGGTTCATGCTCGAGAGCTGGTTTCGGATAGTTCTAGGACCGTCCCAGGACGATTTTGGAAAAATCCGAACGCGTAAAGAGTCACTCCTAGAACAGTTCCACAAAACCCGAACACGACCGATTCTACTGCGCAAACTCTTGACAGTTCTAGAACCGTAATAGTTCTAACAAGAGTCTCGAGATCATACCCGTGTGTTCACCGAACACGCTCGATCGTTACCTGAGCGGTGGGGAGACCGAGACGTAAGCAGGCAGTCATGATACAATGAGTGGGCAGGCAGCTTCATGCTGTCTTTGTTTTTGTAGTACGGGGTGGGCCACCAACAGTTTTCTTGATCACATTTCAACATTTTTTTTTCTAATAAATAAGAAACATTTGATAGGCATCAAGTGATCTATTGCGACATATCAGATAATGAAAGCGATGATTTGATTTGCAATAATTCGCTATGTCCGAGGCTATGTCACGACGAGTCCTACATGTAAATAGCGAACCACTCATCGAATATCATAAAACTATATGTACAGTCGTCTTCAGCGAACATGTCGCGGTTGGATGGTACGAGCGCTTTTATTGCAGCAGTGATCAAGGGAGCTGACACCGTCCATGTGCGACATGATCTCTGAAGACGACTGTACATAATATATGCTTATGTTTTGTTGGCGAGGATGCTCGTTTTTATTCAAATTATTTTCGATAATGTTCATCTGCTTCACTAGAAATCATTATTAGTAGTTATGTAGTACTTAATAGTATAGTAGTAACAGCTTTGTTATTCAAAATGGAACACCTTTAATTTTATTACATTTTTCGATTCTTCTAATTGAGCTATGATTTCGTTGATCAAGCTCAAGGTATACCTATACGTAGAATGTGAAAAATCGAGATTTTTTTTGTATCGAAACTATACAATACCTATATTGATTTGTCAAAATGGCTTACATGTGTCCCTATCCTAACATTCTATTTACTATCTACTGATGCCATTTAATTGAAACAAATACAGGGTGGATCAGATTTCAGAATTATATAAAAGAAGTACTAGTATATGCCTACTTAAAATATATATATATATATTTGAAATAAACAAAACAAATATATCACATAAAAAAACACACTCTAATATTCAACATAAAATAAAATTCAATCCCACTGGATGTATTTAAAAATATAAACAGTGTGCATGTCACTTCTATAATGGAATATATCAACCCGTATATCTAACGTAACTGTTCAATTTTAAGGAGCGATAGATATATATACCAACTATGACCAAAGTGAGGTAATCCTCAGTGAAAAACACTGCTCTGGTCATGGACCCACCAACATTTCCGGAAAATGATATTAGGAAGCAAGATAGGTTAAAAATCACTTCGGATTCGAAATCAGGACGTAACCGTGTACATCGAAAACGAAGCAAGTTTAGGACACATGTTTATATGACCTTTATTAATCATATTATATCACAAAGAATCGTCCCTTGAATTGTTTCGGTGTTATTTAGATACACCCTGTATAGATCATTCTTCATCCCAACATTTTTCCCATAGCGAAGTTCAGCAAATACCGATGGCGAGAGCACTATGTTTATTGATTTGATGTCTACCTATAATATATGTAAAACAAGAAGGCACAACTACTAGTGTTCCGTTTCGAAGTACATTAAATTGACAAATTTGACTCCAAAATGATTCAGGCACGCGCCAATATTCATAACGTAGTTACTGCTGCCCGTTTACGTTTCCCCACCGCTTAGGAAACGATCGGGCGTGTTCGGTGAACACACGGGTATGATCTCGAGACTCTTGTATAGTTCTAACCCGAATGAACCCAGTATATATTTCTTTATTGGTTACAGGTGGCTATGGGTTTGGAGACCAGGGGAAACCCTGGACCACAACCGCCAGCATCGAATATGAGGGCTGTACAATGGGATAAAGAATTGGCGCTGATCGCAGAAAGATGGGCTGCCCAGTGCATATTCGCTAACGACATTTGTCGGGACTCTAACAGATATCCGGTTGGCCAGAATATAGCCAAAGGGAGTTCAGCGTTAAATAGTGATTTGTCCTTCATTATTGATTGGTATAACAACGTTGATACGTTCGCCAGAAACAAAGTCAATAACTTTCAAGTCAAGTAAGTACCTCAGGGTATGTCACGACGAGCTCACACTATCTCTATATCGAGAATCAGTCGGGCGAAATCCATGACAGTATGCGTGTCCATATTTCAGAATACCTTCTTCACATTCAGCATATTATTATATTTAGCAATGCAGCGTTGCCGCTTCTACTAGAAAGTAGTAGCAACATTTATATCTCAAATAAAACACCCAATATTTTATCGCATTTTTAGATTCTCCCTGAGAAGCTGATTTTATCGATATATCACACTTGGGTCGATCGAACAAGATTACAGAGATATAGGGTGTTCAAAATCGAGATTTATCAACTTTAGGATTTTTTTGTATCGAAACTATTTATTATCGGCCAAAACGGCTCACATGTCCCTATCTCAACTTTTGATATACTATTTACTTTTTTCGGAATAATTTTTCGATTGCATAAATTACTAACGTAGATAGTAGTGCCACTGTCATTAATCATTAATCTCAATTACTCGTAATCTCCAAAAGTTCAACAATTCAAAAACAATTCCACTACCTACTTTTTCTCCCTATCCTGTCTAGGTACGCACGATGTCCTTTAAACATAATAGGAATCTCGTTTCGTGCACTCCAAGAAAGGAAAAAAAAGATAGGCACGATTTTTTCATGTTCTGGTTCCCCCGAAAAGAGATATCGTGTAATGTTCAGAGAACATCGTGAGAACCAAGGGAAATAAGGTAGGAATTGGTGTTCTCCTTAAATATCTGGAGGTTATATGCCTCAAGGAACACCTCCCTTGGCAATGTATTCCAGAGCCACGCTGTTCGTTGGGTGAACGAGTCTTTGGAAAGAGATGTTCGGCAGGTCTCCAAAGTGACCACGAAGGGGTGCGAAGCCTCAACTCAACGGGTTAATCTCGCGGGGCCAGCCAAGGAAGGAACAATTGTTGATATTTCAGAAGAGGATCGTCTATGAAAATATCTATGAAATAGAGCCAGATCGCCAACTCTTCTACGGTGTTCCAGAGAAGTGAGTGAGTTTGTGAGCGAGGCATCACCCACGAGACGGATTGCCTTTTTTGGACAGAATTTAACAGTTTCAGGGTATGTTTGGGTGCTGCACTCCAAGTATGGAAACAGTATTCCAGAACAGGTAGGATCTGTGCCTTATAGATTATAAGCAGCTGACTGGAAGTGAAATATCTCCTGGCCCGAAACAGAAAACCAAGTTTTTGGGATTTATTTTCAGCAATTGATCTCACGTGATTTTCCCAAGAAAGGTTATTGCTGATAGTAATCGAAATGGATGTCTCCAAAGGTATGGTTACTCCTGACAAGCTTATGTTGGGCACAGTGAGATCAGATTTTCTAGAGGAAAGGCATGCTTGTGTTTTGTTTGCATTAAAACCTACCAAGTTATTGGATCCCCATTCGAGAATTGTTGCCAAGTCTATATTTATGTTGTCAACATTCCTCTCACGTTTGTTTCTGATTTGCCTGGCTGGTATTAGAGTCCTGGAAGAGAAGGCGGTATGGAGGGTACTATCATCCGCGAAGCTATGTACTGGACATGAAGTTGCTTCCTATAAATTGTTGATATGGAGTAGAAATAGTGTTGGTGCTACAATTCATCCTTGAGGAACACCAGCATTTATGATAGCAGAGTCAGATGAAACTCCGTCGACCACTACATAAAGAGACCTGTTCGAGAGGAAACTAGCTAGCAGAGAACATAACTGGGGAGGCAAGCCATAAGATGGAAGCTTGGCGAGGAGTCCGTGGTACCAGACTCGATCGAATGCCTCGGAGATATCAAGTGCCACGGCTAAGTTTCACCATATTTTTCAATAGATTATATATGTGAAACGTAAGCGAGCAGGTCACCAGTTGATCTCTGATGAAGGAAGCCGTTGATAATACCTGAATGTTCCAGGTATTTCATGAGCTCGATGTTGATAGTTTTCTCCATGATCTTTGAAATAACAGATAGCAGTGCGATCGGTCTGTAGTTGCTAGGTAGGGTCTGTTTGCCTTTTTTAGGAACTGGAATAACCCCAATTTGTAAGAGTATTAGAACAACTTACAGAACAGCTGTTAGTTCGGGAGCACATTTCTTGAGAACAATCGGTGGGATTCAGTCGAAGCCACAAGCTTTGTTGGTGTTGGGACCAATGGGACCCAATAAAATCTTCCTCATAGTACGTTGGCGAAAGGTGATATCGGGCATATGACTGTCAATTGGCGTTATGTTTGGAGGTTGTTTTCCCGATGAATCCAGAGTGGAATTTTCATCAAATAAATGCGCAAAAATGTTGGCTTACTCTTGGGCAGTTGTGGCTAGTGTTCCATCTCCCTTGATTAGAGAAGGAAACGAGCTGGAAGTGAAGTTTTTTCCTACAGCTTTGGCGAAGGACCAAAATGTACGGGATCCGTTAGGACATTCAACAAGTTTCGATCTCATTTTGGCATCATGAGCATCCTTTGATGATCGAATTCTCTCATTGCATATGCCTCTAGCCTCGACATATTCTGCTCTAGTCTCGGGGCCTGGATTTTTCTGCCATCGATATAATGCTGCCTGTTTGGAAGGGACAGCTCTAGAGCAGTTTCTACTGAACCAGGTCTTATCGTAAGATGTTCTCCTTGCAGTGTTCGGTATGTAGGTTTGCATCCCCAACATGATGATTTCAGGAATTGTCTCAGCACACCGGGTTGGATCTGCTGAGGAGAAACAAACGATGCTTCGATCTTGATTATTCAAACACCCAATTCAAGTTCAGGAACATCAAAAGCTTCTTGATCTATTGATGAATGCTGTAAAACTCACTTCTAGCAATCCTGGAAGAAACTTCGACCATATATAAGTATATCATGTTCTAAAGCCACCCTTATATTTTCAGGCCCTCAAGTGCTCTTAGCCAATACACTCAACTGATATGGGCTGAAACCTATCAAATCGGATGTGCCAGAGTGGCGTTCCAAAGGGGAAGCGGCTCCAATGTCACCTACAGGGAGCACTTCATCTGCAATTATGGCCCGATGGGCAATATCCCTCGACATCCTGTATACAAAATAGGAGAACCGTGCTCTAATTGTCCGGATGGCACAGGCTGCACAGTGGAATACAGGGGCCTATGCGGCAGCGAGAAAGTTTTTGAAGTTGCTTTGGAAAAACTTACTGAAACCACCAAAGTTTTACTGAGGCAAGGAATCAGTGGTAGAGGCAATCATTCTCTGAGTGTGCTGATGTATTTATTTATTTTATACTTGTACATTATGATCAGAATCTGATAGTGTTTATGATGAAATGAGATCATTCAATTTTCGAGAGACAGTCCGCAGTCGAATGTATGATGTCAAATATTCTACAAGGTGGGCCAAAAGAAATCATCCGATGTTGTTTGGCTCTCATTTTCTTTCTAAATGAAAAGCCTCGACTCTGTTTTTCGATTATGTTTATTTGAACCTTGAGAATTTTATTGGTCAAGTCGAGAAGATGATATCGGCCAAATGGGCAACGCCACAATTGATTGCTATACTGGCTCGTTTGAGGGCTTCCAGGGTCTCGGGCTTGTTCAAGTAAATACAAGACTTCAAGAAATCCTACAAAAAAAGTCTGGGACGGTTAAATCTGGCGATCTTGCGGGCCAGAGCAAATCGCCGAAACGAGAAATGAGGCGACCCGGAAACGCCACGCTCGCGCAGTGTGTGCCGTTGCTCCATCATGTTGGAACCACATGTCCTCCAGTCCTAATTCGTTCAATTGCCACAGAAAAAACTCGGTTAACATTGCCCTATACCGCGCACCGTCCACTGTTGTCGGTTGACAAGCGGCGTCCTCGAAAAAAATGGCCCGATGACTCCTCCAGAGTAAACAGCGCACCATGCAGTCACTTTGAGCGGATGTAGTAGCTCCTCGTGCATCACTCGTGGATTTTCGGTGCCCCAGAAGCGATAGTTCTGCTCGTTCACGTACCCGCTGAGATGGACATGAGCCTCATCGCTCATTATGATTTTGGTCGAAAAATCGTCCATGAGATTGATACGAAGGCGCTGAAGGGCCGCACCTATACTTTTTTTTGAATCCCGACTTTAAAGTCGGGGGTCCGAGATTGAAGTCGGGGGTCGGAGATTAAAGTCGGGGGTCCGACTTTAAAGTCGAGGGTCCGAGATTAAAGTCGGGGATCCGAGATTCAAGTCGGGGGTCCGACTTTAAAGTCGGGGGTCCGAGATTAAAGTCGGGGGTCCGATTTTAAAGTCGGGGGTCCGAGATTAAAGTCGGGGGTCCGACTTTAAAGTCGGGGGTCCGAGATTGGAGTCGGGGGTCCGAGATCAAAGTCGGGGGTCCGACTTTAATCTCGGACTTCATGGATAAGTCCGAAACGGGTGTTCTCAGACCCATTTTATCATATATCATAGAATTCGTCTTTCTTAGCTCTATCCAAGAATAACATTAAATACATTCGAAAATTCCGAGAAAATGATCGATTTGCAAAATACGTCATCACTTTTGTTTAATTCGAATATCATTGATATTGACAAAATATCCATATAACATATATTTATAATTAGTTAATTCATAATGAAAACTGCGCATTGAAAATTTGATTCTCAACGTTTTCATAAGGCTTTGAAATTTGGCTATTTATTGAAGAAGATTTATGGAAGGGGTGATCTCATACCTACAAATGTAATCATATATCATTGAACTCATCTTTTTGAGCTCTACCCAAGGACGGAATGACATTCAGGGTAGTTCATTCGTGAAAATATATGTTTTGTATTGTATTCTTTTTGCACCCTTTGATCAAACAAATGAGATCCTTAGCTATTAAGTGGAATATAAACAATCACCCAATACGTACGATAATGATCGTACAGGTGTGTTCCATTATTTGACATTCAGTGTACATCCAAAAAGGAGGATTTTGACTGATCCTTATGTGATGATTATCCAATGGATGTAAAATTATTGTTTGTACATAAATGTACAGCGTGTTTCTCAAGTACATGTAGAAAATTCAGAAGCATGTTGCTGACGTCAAACTGATGAGTAACAATGGAAATTATTTATTTCTGTCCACATATTTAACGAATATAATGTAGCTCCTAACTTCAGTTTCGGACTCCCGACTTTAATCTCGGACCCCCGACTTTAAAGTCGGACCCCCGACTTTAATCTCGGACCCCCGACTTTAATCTCGGACCCACGACTTTAAAGTCGAGGGTCCGACTTTGAGGTCGGGATTCAAAAAACAAAGTATAGGTGACCCTTCAGCGCCTTCGTAGATTGACGATGACTTGGCTTGGATTATTCCGCGTTCTTGGGGAAAATATCGCTCCATGGCTTGTTCACTTGTATTCTACATCTGTCTAGTCCACAAACGTCAAAACAGATTTGAAATTGGCCGCCATTTGCAAAAATTAGAGCATCTCCCAATAGGGTGATTTCTTTTGGCCCACCTAGTATTATCCCAAGAGCCGGCTGCAAATTTCGATCGTCATCTGGTAACGAGATGATATATGTCCCGAAGGCATGTAAAACCATTGTAGTTTATCGAACGGCACCTGTGCCAATAACTATCCTGAGGAAAATGATTGAAAAATTGAACTCTCCTGTGCAGAAATTTGCACTCAATTTGACGATTTGATAACGAGATCAGACCTACCTGTGCCAACTCTCAGTATGAGCCAAAATCATGGCACAGCGATTAATTTGCTGCTTTTGCTGTTTTATTATTCCGGACATACTTCCGTCAATACTTGATTTGAATATGTGTAGTGTGAGCACCACATGAGTTTCCACTGGTCCATCGGATATTATCTTTCGACGAGGGCGAAATATTCAAGGAAATATTGACGCTCTGCCACTAACTTAGATCAGTTTGAATCACGGCACGTTTGGATATTCGCAAAAGGTACATCTCTCCGTTTTTTGCTTTTTGTTTCAACTCTTCATCACATGACGGAAGTATGACCGGAATAGTGATTGGCACAGGTGCCGTTCGATGAACTACAATGTTTTAACTTTCTTTCGGGACATATATCATTTCGTTATCAGACGACGGTAGAAATCTGCAGTCGGCTCTCCTACTATATATGCATATTTATATATATTTCTTAGTTTTTAGGGGAAATACATATTTTTTAAAGATTTTAGGATTGAATTTGTATTCAGTTCTTTCACGATTCAGAGTGATTATATTATACACCCCAAAACAAGGCAGACACAAAATGAATAAAGGGTGATTCAAAAGTGAGCAGCATCTTTTCAAGAGCATAACCTTGCATAAAAATAAGGCAAAAAGTTCCATTAAAATGGGTCCGAAAATGCTTCCTGAAGGAGCTACGCCCCTTTGAATAGGAAGCCCTGAAGACTTTTTTTTCTCAAACTGTAAAACCTTTTACAATTGGATTTTGAACATTATTGTACGGTGTAAAAATTTGTATAATATTCAAAATTTCAACATTTCTTTCAGGGGTGTCAGACACGGGGGAGGGTAAGGGTAAGAATCGTCCCTTTTTCTTTCACTCTACAGGTAATTGTAATTTGTTTTTCGCTGGGTGCACACGAAAGAGAATCCCTGTAATGTTCGAAGAACATCGTGCGTACCTAGGGAGAATAAGGAGAAGAGGTAGGTTTTGTAACTTCTGGAGATTATAAGTTCTTGAAAATACTTCCTTAGCAATGAATTCGAGAGCTTTCCCGTTTTATAGAGAAACGAATTTTGATATAGTGCTGTTCGACATATTTCGAGGTTGACAACGAAAGAATGTGCTGACTGCGCTTGTCGAATTCGTCTGGCTGGTATTGCTAGTCGTGGGATGATTTCTGAAGGACATATCTCCTGGAATTATCTATAAAAAAGTGAGAGGTCGCCGACCTTTCTACGCTGTTTCAATGATGTCAAAGTGTTAGTGTGTGTGGCATCACCCACCAGGCGAATGTCTCTCCTCTGGATGGAATCTAAGAGCATCAGAGTATGTTTGGGTGCTGAACCCCATATGTGAGAGCAGTATTCTAGAACAGGTCGTATCTGTGCTTTGTAAATCATGAGAAGCTGTCGAGGTTTAAATTCCGTATGGAAATTATTAAATTCTAGAGTATTTCACGTGAAAAAAGTATTCCTAGTTGACTCCGTTAGACCGTACCACTTACGAGAGAATCGACTTTTAAAGCTTCTCGATTTGGATATGTTTATTGGTGAAAGTTAATTTGCATTACAATAGATAAAAACAATATTTGTTCTACTCACATTTTATTCAACAATTTTGAATTAAGAATCTTATTTGCCATCGAATGTTTATACCGTACACTGATTCTAATCGTTTTGAAAATGAAGAGAAAAAATCGTCTGCAAGGTATCCAATTCAAAGGAGCTTAGCTCCCTTAGGCAGCATTTTCGAAACTTTTTGCCCTAGTTTTATGCAAGAATGACGCCCCCGAAAGGATTCCGCTAATTTTTTATCCACCATGTACATTAAGATGTACCAATTTGGTGGAACTTTGTCAGTAATCTCACACCAGCGATTCGTGATGTACTGTTGACATAACTTCTATAACGTGATAATCACGACATAGGCATGACTTCGATTATACTTTATTTATAGAGGTATCGATTCGACTTCTATGACGTTGCGGTGACGTATCGATGACTTCTAAAGAATACGTACCAATTTGATGGTGTTCGGTTTCGAAAGAAATACATTATGAATATTCATACATTTCTAAACAATGTAAAGCTCCATACGCCAACATTATTTGCATTGCCATCAAAATATTTTTGGTTTGCTTACATCTCACCGATACTCATGTCATAATTTTATAGATACGAATGTTGTACCGGATCTTACCGTGACCGAGATGCCTACCTACTAACGATAACGTAGCTCAAAGGACGATAGAATTTACATGACAGACGAGGAATCACCATTCACGTTAGATATCATCATGTAGGTCTATGATATATACCTGTCTAGCATCCCATGTTTGGGAAACCCTCTCTGTCACTACTCATGTCCAAGTTCAGAAGTCATTTCGACGTCACGTCATATGATGCCAACTCGTGACGTTACCTTGGTGACCTTGGTCATCTATTGACGTGATAAAAACGTTGATGAAAAATTATCTGGTTGCCTCGGTAGTTTCATTGGTTTCACTAGTATTGAGGGTGATACACGTAATTCACCCAAGTGTTGAAAGTAAATCGATAGTCGGATCTCAGAGATGTATATCCTTCTTACTTGCGCCTCAAGAATGTGATGGGACCGGAGAATTCAAACATATTATGACCTCATATTGTGGAATCTACGTTTGCAAACATAAATCTTAAACATGTTAGATCTAATTAGTGATTTAATTTTGTTTTTCTACTCACATAACTAAAATGGCATTTAGCTTACGGATATGTACCATGCTAAATGATCGATTAATCACGGATTGTCGACCTGTGATTTATTCAAAATATTAAACACGTTACCATGGCAACACGATTTCACGATGCAGTTCATTAAACACAGCTTCAGTAATTTGAGACATATGTCTGGCCTGTCATTTGTATTAACTGTCAACTGTTATTTTCGAATTTAGTATCAGAATTATTCAAACAATATTCGTTTGTATCAGAATTCTCCATTCAAAATATATTCGAAATGTAGACGAAAGTGAAATCAAAGAAAATGTTCTGGTACTTGCATATTTCCAAGAAGTGTAAAAATGAAGCATCCATCTTTGAGAACGATTTATTTATTATGCGCTAAGCATGACAATAAACGTGAAACAAAGTTCAGTAAGCAATGGAATGGATACATCTACAACCAATATCACTCATACGTGTCTTGCTGGCTGCATGCAGTTGCATGTATTATGTTCTCAATTCCCATGCCTTTCGAATTATTTTGTAGGTTAGCAGGAATTGCAGCTATGTTAATGTAATTTTCGGAGTTCGTAGAAAAATCATAGTATGTAACGCGTTTATAAACTCTTCTAGACACTTGGTTATTAAACACTCGCTCCGCTCGTGCTTAAACTACTCGTTACTAA